GAAAAGCCCTGCCACGGAATAAACAGCCTGTCTGGATCCAGCGGAGGATCCTCCGGAGTGGGCTCCAGCCCTCCTTCGGGCTTTGTCTCCATCCCTGGGTCACATGAGGTCCCGCTGTGAGGGATTTACATGAAAGGCGGGGAGAGGAGGGGAATGGAGGGACAGCCGCGGGGAAGAGGCGGAGGGAGGAGGAAACCACTGTAGTGGATCAATTTGGACTCATTTCAGCGGCCGGTGACTGCATGTGTGCTGGGAGTAGGGAGTCAGTCTCCTTTAGGCCCTGGAAGGGGCTCTGAGCTCTCCCTGGAGCCTTCTCCAGGTGAACACCCCCGGCTCTCCCGGCCTGGCTCCGGGGCAGAGCGGCTCCCTCCCTCGGAACCTCTCCGTGCCTTTCTCTGGAGCCTGTCCAGCCGCTTCCCGTGCCGGGCTGGCCCCGGTTCCGCGGGCGGGCGCACGCCGCAGGCGGCCCGGCGGAGCTGCGCGGGCGGCGCTGCCCGGACACGCACCCGCCGCGGGCATCCCAAGGGAACAGCCCCATCCCGGGGGATGGATCCCCTGCCTGGGCAGCGCCCGGCACTCCCACCTGGCGGGCAGGTGTGTGCAGGATCAGCCTGCGAGCCCTCCCGCGGGGAATGGCCAGGGACAGGGCCGGCCGGGGGACCAGGAGGGCAGAGATGAACCCAGTCCTTTCAATATGACCTCATAGGATCGTAGTGGTCCTATGGATCCTGCGGATCCTGGCAGGCCTGTGGATCTAGAGGCTGAACTGATCCCAGTATCCTGGTTGTTCTCTGAGTGCCCGGGTGCTGGAGGAGCCGGGCTGAAGGCAGCTGCCCCTGCTCACACCCCAGCAGGATCCCCTGGGGCTGCTCCCTTGCTCTGTCCCAGTTTGCCATCACTCTCTGTTCCCATCCCAGCTGAAATCCCAGGCTCCGGGCAGCGCAGAGGAGCTGCGGTGTCTGCAGGCGCTCAACCAGCAGCTCGAGGGTTCCAGCCTGGAGAAGCTGAGCAGCAGCCAGGGCTGCCTCAAGCTGGCCAGCACCATCAAAGCCTATGTGGACTCGGTGAGCCTGGGACCAGGGGAGGATGGGAGAGATCTTGGTTGTCCCCATGCCTCAGTTTCTCTATCTGCCTCACCACAGCAGCGGGAGGGGGGAATAGCCAGGATGGTTCAAGGTGGGACTCAAGCCCTTCACAGCGAGGAGGTGGTGAGGCCCAGAGACAGCATGACAGGGAAGGTGATGGAGGCTTGGAGTAGGAGCTCAGGCATGGGGAGCCCCCGTGTCACCTTTAACCAGGGAACTTTCTCTTCTCTGTGGCACAGGTGACTGAGAACATCATCCGCAGGAGTGTGGTGAAGGGTGAGTCCCTCCTGGGCCCGAGCCTGATCCATGGGAACTGTGATCCATGAGAGCTGTGACCCATGGGAGCTGGGATCCACAGGAGCTGAGATCCATGGGAGCTGTGATCCAGGGAGCTGGGATCCTCAGGAGTTGAGATCCAGGGAGCTGTGATCCACAGGAGCTGAAATCCATGGGAGCTGTGACCCACAGGAGCTGGGATCCACAGGAGCTGGGATCCAGGGAGCTGGGATCCAGGGAGGCCAGCAGGGGATGGCTGGGGCAGTCACTCCTGGGGCAAACTCCGGTGCTGTAAGCTGGGGCAGGAGAGGGGAGAGCCAGGATTGTCACTTGCCGTGACAGGCACACGTTCTGGGAACGGGCTGGGGGACAGCCACGTCCGTTTGTCCAGAGGCTGGAGAAGCAGGGCCGTGGCACACATAGATGTGGTTGATGATTGACGAGACATTTCCATCCCTCAATAATCTTTTGCTCTGGTGGGTCAGTGGGGCATTCCCTGCCCTGGCATGGGGCCGGGTGTGCCCACACTGTTCTAACAGCATCTGTTCCTTTCCTGCAGAGGCCTGGCGGAGCTACTTCAACACCTCAGAGGGGCAACGTCCTCCCAGAATAACTGGGAAACCCTCAGCACATCTCACCCTCCGCCCACAGAGCCTGGCTCAGGATGGTGAGTTGGGGAACCCCTCTGGGCACTGCTGGGTCTCCAAGATGGGAACATGGGAGAGATCAAAGGGCAGGGGACCAGGATGGGGGCAGCTGATGGGGAGAGGTGTCTCCTGTTCACTCCAAGACCACCAAGCTCCACCCTCTGAGCTGGAACCTACAGCTTCCTGAAGGGAGGTTGCAGACAGGTGAGGGTCAGTCTCTTCCACCGGGCAGCAACTGGCAGAACAAGAGGACACAGTCTCAAGCTATGTCAGGGAAGGTTTAGGAAAAAATTTTTCACTGAAAGAATAATAAAATACTGGAATTGTCTTGCTAGGGAGATGGTGGAATCACCATCTCTGGATATGTTTAAAAAAAAGACTGGACTTGGCACTTGGTGCTATAGTCTGGTTGTGGTGTTAGGGCATAGGTTGGACTTGCTGATCTTAGAGGTCTCTTCCAACCTCATGATTCTGTGATTCTGTGATGACTGGGAAGCAGTCAGAGCCACCCCCTCCCCTCTGTGTGATGCTGTCAGGTCTGTCAGGTCGCTCTCCTCAGTGACTGTCCCTTCCCTCAGGACGCTCCCAGCGCTCCGGGAACCTGTCCCAGTCGTGCCGCCACGCCATCACGCACTGGGGGCACAGCAGCCTCCTCTCGCACGTGCAGAACATGACGTACCGCGCCGGGCGGCTGCGCGTGGAGCAGCCGGGCAAGTACTACGTGTACTCGCAGATCTACTTCCGCTACCGCGGCGCGGGCCGCGACTCGGGCCCTCAGCTCGTGCAGTGCATCCAGTGGCAGCCGGCCCACAGCCCGCCCGTGCTGCTGCTCAAGGGCGTGGGCACCAAGTGCTGGGCGCCCGAGGCTGACTACGGGCTCCACGCGCTCTACCAGGGCGGACTCTTCGAGCTCAAGGCCGGGGATGAGCTCTTCGTCTCTGTCTCCTCCTTGGCCATCGACTCCAACGATGCAGCAGCCAGTTACTTCGGGGCCTTCCGGCTCGACCTGTGACAGCCCCTCCGCTCCCACCCGGCCCCGGGACAGCGGCAACACCCCGGGGTGGCGCAGGGCTCTCATGGCTGCGCTGTCCTTCGTGGTGAGGGATGAGCCAAGAAGGGCACAGGGCAGCTGCTCCCCGGGGGAGGCAGCTGTGAACCAGGAAGGGTCTCGGAGGGCCCACAGGGGACATGCACAAGGAGGGACATCCTAGCCCTGGTGGCACAGCACCTCACAACGGCTCCCCGCAGCAGGAAAGGCACCAGGGTCACATCTGCCACTGCAAGACAAAGTGTCCCCGTGGCAGGGTGACACCCGTGAGTCTGACCCCACCTTGGGCAGGGCTGTGGGTGCCAGGACCGGGGGCTGGAAGCATCCTGGGGCACACCTTGTGGGGATGGGTGCAGTGTCCGCTGCTGGAAGGGAATGAAGGAGTTTCAGTTTGGGAGATGAAAGCCTGGGGCAACAGCACCAGTGGTTGCAAGGAGGGCAAAGGGCAGGACCGTGACACCACAGCAGCCACCAGTCCTGGCACCACACCAGGCACGTGGCACTGGGGCACGTGGTGACCGAGCCAGGCTGCACAGGACCAGGAGCTCAGCGTGGCTGCTGACCCAGCACCCCTTCCCATGTGGATTTTGTCCCTCCCAGCCCTCATGGACAGCACAGTCCCCACTTCCTCACACCTCCAGCCCTGGCAACCCCTGCAGGATTCCAGCTCTGGATGGGCTCCGTGGTCACAGCAAGACCTTGGAGGGACCAAACCAGCCCTTGGGTGATGTGATGGAGCCACTCCAGAGGCCAAAGGTGGGTTCAGGCAGGGCAGAGCAGGGCCCAGCTGGCTCAGCCCCCTTTTCCAACTCCCCCTGTACTCTCTGTATCCTACTAAGCCTGGGGGGATTCACACAGTGGCAGCATGGGCTGCCACGGGCATGGGGCTCCCAGGGAGGATGGAATAAAGCCTTGTACTCCAGTACAGGTCTGGCCCCTTTGCACCCAGGGTGGGCCTGGAGCCAGGTGGAGCAGGGCTGGGGCACTGCCAGAGCTCCAGACAGAGCCCAGCAGAGTCTCCTGCTCATCCTGCACCCACAGCACCTCCGGGGGCTCAGCACCTGCCAGCCCCCACTGCAGTCCCAAGGGGATGTGTTCCTGCTTCTCAACACAGAGCCTTCATTCCAGCTGGGCTCAGCTCCTGCAGAGACCCCATGAGATCTGAGCCCACCCCAGCTCCTCCCCTGCACCCATCAGCTCCCAGGGGTTCCCAGCTCCTCTCTCTGAGTTTGGGATTGCTGAGCCCAGCCCAGGACACAGCCAGGGTCACCGATGGGCTGTTCCTGGGCAGCTCCTGCCATCCCTCCTGCAGCTTCCCAGGCCTGACTCAAGCCCTCCACATCCAGCCAGGGCTGGGGGCTGAGCCAGGCAGTTCCCACATCCCCCCCAGCCCAGCTGCTGGGCATTCCCACTCTCCAGCCCCCATCCCCTGCAGGCTCCCAATCCAGGGGTGTTGGTACAATCCCCACAGGGCATGGTGCCACCCTTGCACCTGCACACAAGCACCTGGACCGGCCCCAGTGCAAGGGAAGATTCCCCAGCTCATCCAGAATCTCATCCAAAGCCAGAGGGCACCAAGAGCAGCCTCCTGCAGCCTCCAAAGGGGTGACAGGGCTGATCCCCCCATGGCAGGGCTGCAGGGCCCCATTTTCCCAGTCCCCTTGGAGGGATGGAGGGAGCTAAGCTGACCCTTGGCTCTGCAGCACTTGGTCCTGGAGCACGCTGGGCTCTTGGCCAAAGCAAAAAAAACCACTCCAAACCCCTTCATTCTAAACCCATCCCTTTTCCTCCACCTCTCATCCCCACTCCTGCTGTCCCAACCACCTCGGTGACCCACAACAGGGCTCTTGAGGTCCTCAGGTCTCAAACACCCCCAGGAGCTCGGAGCTGATCCCACCTCTGGAAGCAGCCATGGGAGAGCAGGGCTGAAGCAGGGAGCTGGGGTTTACAAGAAACGCAGCAGGTGGTTCCCAGATTTCCTTTGAAAGGGAGTTTAACGTGGACACGGCCCAAGGGAGCCGGCAGGGGCTGTGTTTGCCATGGAGGAAGCAGGGAAAGCAGCGAGTGGGGAGAGCCGGGCTCGGCGCCAGCGGGCAGTGGCCCACCCTGCTTTCCTGGAAAGGAGAAGGCTCATGGGTGGGTGGATGGGAGAAGGAGAACTCCAGCAGCATCAGGGCAAAGAGCAGCCTCACCCTGTCTGGAGAGAGCCCAGCTGGAATTCCTGACTGTCAGGAACTGGCACAGGTTACCCCGAGAGCCTCAGCAGCCCCTCTGCCTCCTCCATCGTTCTCCCTGTCCTGGTGCTTCCAGAAGAAGGGCTGGACACCCCCAGCTTGGCCAGGGCTGGGCTCCCACCTGGACACATGGATTGGCCACCAGCAGGAGAACCCAGCAGCATGAAAACCCAGCCTCCACAAAAACTGCCTGAGGCACCTGTGCCAACAGTACCTGTCCCAGGACGTGCTTCAGGAAAGAAAGAACAAAGTATGGAAAGACTTGGATGAGGACACACCACTTTTCTTTGACTAAGGAAACAAAATCTGCTGTGCAAATGGAGCAAAGTATTGAAGATTTCTCATACAGCTTTTCTGTTATTGTTAAAACTGTTTATTAGAAATTACAACTCACTATTTTAATGTGTGCATTGCTGACAAGTTCACTGTAACCCCTGCTAGAAAGCAAAGTCAATGGTCCCTAAACCAACCCTGCAGCTCCTCACACAGCCCCCTCTGCCAGCACCTCCCTCAGGCTGGGGAGAGCCACAAGAATAAACAAGTCCATTATCCCTTTGTGACCCTGTCCCCCAAAACTGAGGGCTCCAGCTCCCCAGGCAGCACATCCCTACAGTGTCCCTGTGGTGACCACTCCGGAGCCTCCTGGCTCTTCCCTAACACCTCAAGCTGAAGGAGGACAGGGTAAGAAGGGATAGTGGGGAGAAATTCCCTGCGAGAGAGGTGAGGCCCTGGCACAGGGTGCCCAGAGCAGCTGGGGCTGCCCCTGGATCCCTGGCAGTGCCCAAGGCCAGGCTGGATGGGGCTGGGAGCAGCCTGGGACAGTGGGAGGTGTCCCTGCCATGGCAGGGGTATAGCCAGACAAGCTTCATGACCCTTCCAACCCAAACCATTCCAGAATTCTGTGATTCCCTCCTGCTCTAACCCAGCCTAGGACGTGGGGAGGGTGACTGCAGCACTAATAAAATCTCCACACTGACCTGATTTCCCATGGCCTCGCCCTGCGGATTCAATCCAGACAAAAAGTGCTTCCTGCAGCCGCTGCCAAAGGACCCTCTTATCTCCATTGCCGAGGAGCTGCTTCTACCTCAGCCCCAGGGCGTTCACGGCCCTGAGCCTTCATCTCTAAATAAATCCTGAGCCAAAGGCTCCTTTTTTTCCCCTCTTTGTTGTCATAAACCAGCTCATTGCTACTTCCAAGTCTCAATCCCTGCCCAGACACGATCTCGTTTTACTTTCAAGTCCTCAGCCTGGCTCGAATTCACAGAAGGGAGAGGAAATCCACACCGAAATCCACGTCACCCCGGCAGGAAATCATTCCTTGGGACCCTGTAAATAAAGCACACAAAGAGATGCAGCGGGGTGTGCTGTGAGCGCCCCTCGCTCTGCCCCAGGGCACCTCACCAGCCACAGCTCCCCCCAGGCAGGAATTCAGCCTGGAAAAAAAGAGAGAAACAAAACAGAAACCTCTTTCCTACAGCACAAAGGATTCACGGAGCCGTGGGATGCTCCTTAAACCCTCAGGAAAGCATTGATGCTGGGGCGCTGTGAGCGAGCAGGAGGCTCAGCTCATCCCTTGAGGAATCCCGGATGGTTTGGGTGGGACGGACCTTTAAAGGCCAATTTAGTGCAATCCCATCCCAGCTGCGCTGCTCCCAGCCCCTTTTCCGCGGCCCCACGGAGAGCCCAGGGGAAAGAAGGGGATTTCTCTCCTTTCCCGGTCAGCCCGTGGCTCCCCGCAGCAGCGGGGCCGTTTCCCCGGTTCCCTCCCGGTCCCGCAGCCCCGGCTCTGCCCGCGGGCTGAGCGCCAGGGAAGCGCTGAGCCGGCTCAGCCGGGCCTCCCGCACCGCTCACACACGCCTTTCTTCTCCTTTTATTCCCCCGTGAGACTAGCTGGAGACCTCGGGAAGGAAGAATTCCACATTGAAAGAAAATACCTCATTTTGTGTCCTGTTCAAACTCCCTGAACTAGTCCACAAAACTAAGGAATCAGACTGGTTTGGGTTGGGACCTTAAAGATCAGCTCAAAGTCGGCTCCCTCCAGTCCCATCCTGCCCTTCCAGCATCCCACTGCCTTGCCCCAGAGAGGTCCCCAAAGTCATGGGCCATAAATGGGATATTGCAACCCCCTCTCAGTCTTTCTGGGCCACTCATCCAGTGGATGGACCTCCCTAGCTCCATCCATCCTGCATCCCTGTCTGCCCAAGAGAGCCGCAGGGCTCCTCCTGGAGTGAAGCAATGGAAGAGCAAGAACTGGGCAAAGCCCTCCTCGGGAGCTGGAAGTTTGGCACCGTGTGGACTCCAGATCCTGCCAGCAAACAAAGTGAGTCTGGCCCTGCTGGGCTTTTCCTGCCCTTCCCACTCCCACCCTCCTGGACTGGACTTTGTCCGGACAGCATCCCCAGGAAACCTCTCCCACGGTAAAAAACCATCCATGGGACAGACAGCAGCAGCTGAGGAGAGCCAGGAGCTGCTGGGCAGGTGTTTCCTGCCCAGGGCTCCCATCCCCATTTGGCAGAGCAGCTGCAATTCCCTGTGACAGCTGCTCCCTGCCCTCCTTCCCCAGGAGCAGCTGGAATGAACCACCAGCCAGCTGCGATGGTCCATCTGGGAGAACCTTGCACACGGGTTTTGCTTTTGGCACCTTACCTTTGCACTGGGCTGCTGCAGCCTTCCCACAAGGAGAGGAATCCTCTCATGGATCATGGATCTAATTGAAGCAGGATCACATTTCCCAAGCTGGGACCCTCCTGAGGATGGTAAGGTGAGCAGAAAATTGAAAAGCTTTGTGTTCCTGGTATCCCAGGTATCACAGGAAGAGAAGCATACAGGACAGGCATTCCCAGAAAAGGAGCTCCCAGGAGATTGGGAGAAGGCAACTTCTTCCCTGAACGCAGCCCCAGCTCCCAGGAGCGTCCACCTGCCCTCCAAACAGAACAAAAAAGGGCATTTAAAGGCAAAGCTGCTGCTGGCACGGGCTGAGGTAAAACATGAAGAATTCCAACCATCTCCTGCTGCACAAAACCACCACAGACCACTCCAGGCATTTATTTTCCAAGCAGAAAGAACTGGATCCATCAGTGACATCTCAGGGTGAAGCAGCTTTGAGCTGTACAAGGATTGAGACATCAGGTGGAAGCAGCAGAGCAGAGACTGGCTGCTGGATGGCTTTGGAAGATCAAGAATCTGGCTTCTGCTCCTTGGAAAGACAAGGAATTTGTTTGTATTGGAGAGATTTTGAGAGGGACGCAGCCAAGTCAAGCCAGAAGTCCCCACTCCCCACAGACATGAAACAACTGAGGCCAGGATGAAGAGATCAGTCTCCCAAATCCAGAAGCCTCCCAGATTCCATTAAATGGGCACAGTTTTATTAACAGGAAAATCATTAGGTCAGCGCTGGACAGGGACTGAGGAGCACAGGGGGCTGTGGTGGAAGGGGTTTCTTGCATAGTTGTTGGCTAAAGGAGACCTGGGAATTCCCTGCTGGGAATCCTCCAGCTGGGATGCAGGGACAGGAGGGAGCATCTGTGTCCCAGGCATTGGGCTCTCCCAGTGGGACAGGATGAGGAGGAGGCCACCTGTGCCATGTCCAACACCACCGGGGTTTGGGGAAGGGCAGGAATTTAGGATTCAGCCTCTGGCATTTTAGTGACATGCCCTGGGGAAATCAAGGAGGAGGAATCCTTGGGAACAG